TCGTCTACCAGAGCAAGCTAAGCCATTGCGTGTCTGGGCTGTGTTCCGGGCCTTCACACATTGTTCTGTGTTTTCCTTTGTGAGTGGAGCTGCCCAGTGAGTGACCAGAGGTGCTGCCCTGGGCAGTGGGAGGGTATCCTTTGAACATTCCTTTCTTTGACCAGTGGTTGCTCACTGCATTCCCTCCAAAGGCTGAGAAAGGAAAGAGCGGGAGGTTCCGGCACCCACAGATTCCACTGTTACTGGCAGCCACATGGATGAGGGCTCTAGCTTTGTTTCCTCTCCTGGCCCCCACTCCCTGCCCCCTACACACACCTCTCAGGGTTTCTGTCCTCAGCAGCACCCCACCCTTTTGACCCCTAGGAGGCCCCAGAGTCATGGTCAGGCTGACCTATCGCTGGGAGCTGAAATACTCAGACTTTTCAGTACCTGGGTAAAAGTGTGCTGCTCTGTTCTGGGTTTTAGGGGGCTGTCAGCGCCCCTCTGCAGTTTGTCTTGGCTGTGGCAACACAGGCACCATAACAGTCAGTGGACGGGGTTCAAAAGGGAGAGGGCAAGGTGCCCCGTGCCTGGACCCAAGGACGGGGCAGGGGCAGTCACTACTGTGGATGCAGGTGAGTGAGGGGGTCTCTGAGCTGCACACAGGGTGGGGAGCAGTGGGTGAGCGAGTATTTTCATGCTGAGAGAAGTTAGAATTATAAGCTGTGAAAAAAAGACAGACAACGGTGTGTCATGGCCTCCCACACTCACTTACACGGGTTCATGCTCATAACTCTCAGACCCGCAGAACCCCGGGAGCAGGCTTTGGGCTGTGTCTCTGATTGTTGCCACGTGGAACAGGGGGCTCTGAGGAGCAGGCTCTCGCTTGGGAACCCCCACACGATCTAAGAGGGGGGAGGACAAACTGGTACAACCAGTGGAGTGCTGGCCCTCCTGAGCAAAACCCCCGGGGCCATAGACTTGGGTATGTTAGGAGAGGATCCTGGAATGAATGAGTGACAGCGTCTTGGCTGCAGAAGCCGTCAGCTCCATGGCTGCCTCTGCAACGCCATGATGGAGCCGTGCTTTTCCTTAAGGAATCTCCACACCTCTATCCTGTACCCTGCCCTGGAACCCTGCCCTCTTCTCTGAGGGGGAGCTCACGTGTGGGCAGGGGCCCCGGCATCTCTGTTCTGAGCTCTCTTTTCTGGGGACCCTCCCGTCTCCACACGTTCACGGGCGTTGGGGAGGTGAGGTCACCTCGTTTTCTTTTTCTTCAGGGTTGAATGTTGACAGAAGCAAGAAGAGGGGGAGGGAGGAAGCAAAACAGGGCTTCCCAGGCAGCAAGTGTCCCCACCTGCTGAGGGAG